GTCTGGGAGAACACACAGCCGTCTGGTCACCCACTGCTGGGAGGGCATGGCCTCAGGGACCCACAAAATAAGCTTGTTCACTCTGTATACTGTTGGTATCCAAACATACATGTAATATATATATACAAAATTCTGAGGTAAAGAGTATTTCAGTTTTTACAAAATATGAAAAGCTGGAGTTAAAAGTCAGCTTCCCCCATGATTTCAGCCCACATTTCCCCCTTCTGTGTCTTTAAGGGTTTTTGCATTTGTATAAAATTCCGCTGAAAAGTGGAGTCCAGGGTGGGGACTGGGGGGGCAGGGTGTAAAGGGGTGCCCACTGCTAAAATGAAAGCTGAGCCCCAATATCCCCTTAACCCTGCGCCCCCAGTACACAAACGAACACTCTTAGTCCAGGCTCCTGCGACGCGTCACTCCAGATCTCCGTTCACCATAGTGCATTTCCATCTTCATTGTAATTGAAGCAGACACGGAAATTGAGCTTTAAACCGTCCGAACACATTGTAGCCCAACCCCACACCACATACCCTCCTTCTGATTTGGACAAAAGCCAAAAGGGGGTTTTCCACCTCCTGGCCATCCCACCCAGAATCAGAAACACCCCCACACGCTCTCTCGCGTACACCAGGGTACCAACAACACGACCTCGATACCGTCAGTGACTCTGTCGCCCCCCTCACCACTTGACTCCGTATTAAAACGCTACCGATAGCAATTCTTAAAAAGTAGGAACTACACGTCACCCTTTCGTCCGGTTCATAATTAAATAAAAAAAGTTTTTTAATTAAATAAAACTGCAAGGGAAGGCTGCATGGAGTTTTTGGTCATCTGTTGTCATCCAGTACTCTCCTGCTTCTTCACTCCTATTCCTCTGTTAGGCCTGCACCAGCAAAGGACACATTCCTGTTTCACCACGGGTTTCGGTCAGAATATCAGTACAGCAAGCCCGTCTCCAGCTCTTCCTCTCTGGGGGCATTCGTGTGGCAGGGAGAGTGGCACAGCTGGGCATCTGGACAAGTAAAGTACTGGAGGATTTGCTTGGGGATGTAACCTAATTGTGGCGCGTCAGTGAAAAGCTTCCTCCCTGCAACACTTCCTGCCAATAATTTTAAGTTATCTCATTTCATGCCCCATCCAACACGTGGTCAAATTTTGCAGATAACCCCAAGCAGAAATCTTACGGGTAGAAAAAAAACGGAAAACAAAATGGCAGCAGGCAAGGGAGGGTGACCTCTGACCTGGAATCTTAAAATAAAAGAAGCGTCTTTATTCCCAGTTTAAGAGCTGCGCCACTCTTATCCTGTCGATCCCCAGAGACTGAGACTGGGGGGGGGGCTTGGAACCGAGGTTTGCTGAGGTGTCAATGAAAAAGAACACTAACCAAAACAAGGATACTTTCACAGACACAATCCCATTACTGGAAACAGTATGGCGCTACTTCTCAGGTGGAGCTCTGAGGCTAGGAGACGACACCCCACGGTCAGAACAAGGGAGAAGGTGGGTCAGAGGGGAACGGGGGAACTGCGTGCACCTGGGTTTCCTTTTCCTGTCTGGGCCAGATTCCTCCCCTTGTTTTTCAGAAGTCAGTGCAACAAGAAGGTGAGAAATACCAACACAGCTCATGACCCTCCCTTTCTCCCAAAACGCACGCATGGCTGTACAGAGGCACCCCCAAAAGTAAAAAGCCTCAACCCTTCCTTCTCCTTTGAAAATATCTAGAGATGGGCCCGCACTGCTGGACTCGAGATCGGGGCCCGCACTGCTGGATACCTCATGGGTGCCCGCACTTATAGGGGTCTCAGCTACTGTATTTCTGAACTCGGCCTGCATTACTGATCAGGGTCTGGACTGCTGTACTCCTGCTCCGGCCTGCACTACTGGACTACTGACGAATAAAGCCACAGGCCTGCTTGTCACCTGTCACCTGAAGTGTATTTTCTTGCCGTTTCAATACAATCTGATTTGACAGTGCTGCTGGTGCTCCTCTCCTGCACTTTGCTGCTCTTCCATACTGGCAGAGGTGGTTGTACAATGATATCACAGCTGGTCATCAGCTTGCGGTCCATGGCGACGGTGCCAGCACACAGGTGTTGAGCTGTTTGGAAGCGATTTTTCCTGGAGCTGCTGTGTGTGTGGGATTGCGAGTCACAGTATACATTTGTGTTTGTATAAATGTGTTTTGTGCGCATGCGTGTGCCCATATGTGCGCGTGCACATGCGATCGCCTGTGTGTGCGTGCTTCACAGAGAGGGGCAGACGGATCACAGACTCAGCTTACAGGGAGGAGGCTCCTAGGGGGAACATCAGTAAAGCTGCAGGTACAGAGAGAACCCCTACTGTGACGGGGTCATCTTGGCTTTAGTCATAGTGATGACCCAAAAACCACTGAACAGCACGTCCTGCAGACTGACCCCTGAATCCTACACAGAACAGTATGTCCTGCAGACTGACCCCTGAATCCTACAC